CCGCGGCCACGTCTGACCCCGCCTCAGGAGTCTGTGGAGGTGCTGGGCCGCCCGCCGTTCCATGACACGGCCCTCACCACCAGCGGGGACCTGTCTTACGTCGGGGGCAACTGGACGCGCGACATCGCGTTTGCCGGGACATCCATCCCACTCACGGTGAGGCGCGGGGCGCGAAGTGTGGTGCCTGGGGCGCGGGATCGGCCCCAGGCCTCCCGCGTCCCCAGGCGCCCCCGGAGCTTTGGGGGCCGAGGGGCGGCGCCGCTGTTTGCCTGCGCGCGGCTCGCTTGTGTGCTGGCCTCTCGCCTGGGGGCCGTGCGGGCGAGCGGTCACAGGTTTCGTGGGTTGCCCGCGTCGTCAGGGGCTGCCGTTTGGTGTGCGCCCTTCCCATCTTAGTCCGCCAGGACCCCCGCACGTTACCTGCGCATGAGGCGCAGACAAAATCGAACGCCAGCAAAAGAACACGCGTAGTTCAGGGATTCGTCCGCAACGGTCCGCATTATTTTACAAGACAAGGCGGCGCCTGGAAGTCCCAAAGACATCACATCCTCCTGCACAACATGCCACCGCGCAGGGCGACTTCCCGGCGTCGCGCATGATCGACTCTGTCCCGGGCGTCGACGCGGCCCGCAAAGAGCGGCTGATCCAGGTGCTGGACATCGACCCCTCGTGGCGCATGCACCAGGTGGGACGCCGCCGCGGCCGCGGCTTTCGGGGCCCCGTGGCTGCACACGCGTGCCTCCTTCCAGCAGCAGCAGCAGCAGCAGCAGCAGCGTGGCTCGCCATTACGGCTGTCTGAATTTTTCTTGGGGCCTCTCTGCTTTGCACCGCTGCACCTGCATTGCACTCCGTGATCATGGAGGGCGCGTGCGCGAAAACACACACACACACACACACACACACACACGCACACACATACACACATACACACACACACGCTCTCTCTCTCTCTCTCTCTCTTTCTCTCTCTCTCTCTCACACACACACATACGCACATACCACACCCGCGTCCGCCCGGCTGCCTGCAATGCACTCATGCACATCCAGGTGTCTGACGGGCAGCGGCGGCGCGTCCAAATCTGTGTGGGCCTTCTGCGGCCTTTCAAGGTGTGGGTGCCTGTTGATGGCCAGGGCTTCTCCTGTGTGATGCTGTAATGCACTGGGAAACTTTGGCGCAGCTGGTGGCTCGCGACCCGAGGCGGCACGGCCGCCCCCTGGCCGGCGGCGCGGCTTGGGTGGCTTCCATAGGGGCTCACGCCAGACCAGCAGCACTGCAGGTGCCATGGTCGAACAGGAAACGCCTGCAGTGCCTTCCTCCGCTTGTGTAGTGACTGCATACACACACACACAAACACACACGCACACACACACACACACACACACACACACACACGTACGCGCAGATGCGCACGTACGCGCACATGCGCACGTACGCGCGCACGTGCGCACACACACACGCACACACGCACACACACGCACATACACACACACACAAACACACACACAAACACACAATGTTGGCTCTGTTTGAGTTCCAACATTATCATCCCCACCATGATTTCCTCAACTCCGCCCCCAAACCCACACCAAACCCACCTTGTAACTTCTCTTCAAACAGGTCCTGCTCTTGGACGAGATCACGGTGGATCTGGACGTCCTCGGGCGATCTGATCTGATGGCCTTCCTCGCGGACGAGTGCGTCCAGCGCGGCGCCACCATCGTGTACGCCACCCACATCTTCGACGGCCTCGAGGCCTGGCCGACACACGTGGCATACGTCGCGCGCGGTGAGTGGCGCGCCAAGCGCCACGGTTCCGTGGCCGCGGCTGTGGGTGTCTTGATAGGGGCTCGTCTGCCTTGCGTGTCTTCCGGATTTGAGCGGCAGGGTTGCGCGCCGCTCCGCGGGCCGTCCCTGCATGAGCCGGCGACGGACAACAGCCGAGGCCGGGGATGACTGTTGTGTGCACAGCTTTGCTCGCAAACCCTGTGGGCAACCACCTGCTTCGATTGAAGGAACTGGTCAGCCCGACATACCCACGCCTGTGCTGCCCGAAGCTGGTGACGGACGCTCCCCATTGTTTTGGTTCATCTGATTGTATCCCCCTCCATCCTGCCTGCCAAACCCCTCGACCCCCAGGCCGCCTCCAGTTCGTGACCCCCGCCGAGCAGATCCCCCACCTTAGGGAGGGCCGCCTGCTGGAGATGGTGGGGGCGCTGCTGGCGGAGGAGCGGGACGCTCTCCTGAAGGCCGGCGCCAGCAAGCCCGTCACCTACGACCCGTCTCGCGAGGGCGAGGTGGCCGCGTTCTCGTACGCCTTCAACAATGGCTGGGTCCCCGGGACGCTGGCCACGTCCCTGGCGAACAGCAGCAACGCGGTGATGCGCTGCTGATGTCATCTGATGTCATCTGACATCATCTGATGTTGTCTGATGTCATCTGACGTCGTCCATGGGCCGCGGCGCCGGCTGGCGGCGGCGGCGCGGGGGAGGCGGTCTGCTGCAAAGGCAGCAGTGCGAGGGTGTTGAGGGGAGGTTGCTAGTGTGGAGAGTGAGCGGAGTGCACTTTGATGTTTGCCTCGCAGGCATGGGGTCACTGGCCCACAATCAAAGCTTCAACGCGCAAGATGTGCACGACATAAAGACACTTTCGACCCCTAAAGAATCCTGGCCTCAGATTCATGCTGCCTGCAAGTGCGAATTGCACAGAGCGCCTGCCAGCCGCCCAATTGGGCGGTGGCAGGGGCGACTTTCCTGACTAATTGACAATTGCTTCCGGCATTTTGAGAGTGGCCTGCAGCCCCTGTAACGAGACCTTTGCATGCGCGGCGCGTAAAAGCCGATATGAGCACCAACAGGAACAGCAGAGCCTGCACGCAAGCAATCTTAGTGGGGCTGGCTTACCTGCAGGAGCAGTCACATGCAGATGCGCTTGCGGGGACCAAAGGCTGCTTGGTTCCCGGCGACGCGGCTGACTGCAGTTGGGACCTGCGGCCGATTTCCACGTTTCACGCGGCAGGGCCAGCGTCTTTGCAAGCTGGACCTCGCCATTGCGTGGCGGGCCACCAGCTGCAGGACCCCTCCTCCAAGCTCCGAGCTTGGAATGAGTCATTCCAAAGGGGCGCAGCTTGACCCACCCACCGCTCCAGGCTCTTCGCAGCTGTAGATGAGGGTGGGCTGTGCCCCCGTGGGCAGCTGTCATGTGTTTGAGGTTGTTGGCTGCAAAACAATGTCACATGGCTTGCAGCAAGACACATCCACCTGTCCGCTGGCCCTCAGGCCCAGGATCAGGTGCTGTTTTTCGGGTGTAGGTTTGGCAGGCTGCTAAGGTACAGTATTCGCGCCTCTGGCTCGCCCACGCGCGTGGCACGCTGTTACAGGTTGAAGGTGGGGAGCATGCAACACAACTCGGGCAGGCCGCACGCCACCTCAGGTGGTGGTCCTTGCCATTGCGTGGAAAGTGAGGGGGGTGAGGGGTCAAGGGTGGGTCGTTGCAGCAGTGGGCAACGTGCGAGAGGGGAGGGAGCAAGAGGAGCCTGGGAAGCACTCGTGAACGTGCAGTTGGTTGACCGCCCTGAAAAGTGCATACTGCACTCTTGGGTTTTTCGGCTTGAAACCACTAGGGTTTTGCAAGCGGCAGATGCAGACATACTCTATGATACAGGTATATTGCCGTGTTCAGAGCAGCAGCCAGGGGGCCGCATGAGCACGCGCAACAGCAGACGCGCCGCGCTAACTGCTTCCAGCGCCGGTCGTGACTGCTCTGTGCAGCTGGGTACAGTGTGGTGTGGGGATGATTTGGGCATCAAGTGATCTGATTGCAGAGCTGTGCTTGTATTCAGCACGCCCCAACCGTCACGCTTTTGCGCTGCAGCCTGTTTCAGCGCACGCGCAGCGCGGCTGCCGCCTCCGCCTTCAAGCCAGCAGCCCAGCCCTCGGCGTCCGGGCCAGATCACAGATCACACGCGCTCGATTGCAATGGGGCTGCGGACTGTGTAGCGCCCGCCATCGGCCTGCCAAGTCAGGCTACCAAAGCTCCAGCCCGCGGGCGCGCTCTTGGGGACGGTGATGGACAGCGTGAACCCCCCAACCTCCTGCGCGGCCGTGAACGCGATGCTGCCGGCCGACGCCGCAGCCCCGCGCCGCTGGCGCTGCAGCGAGCCGCCAGCGGACTTCCGATCCGGGATTATCTTGGCCTTGAAGCCCGCGGGCAGGTCGATCACCGGCGTGAAGCCGAGGGTGGCGGCGCCCTCTGGGATGGTGCCGACGAACGTCACGACACGCCTGGCTGTGACAGTCTGGCCGGCGGCGAGGCCGGGCAGCGCAAAGGAGGGGGAGTTGAAGTCGCGCGCGGCCTGGGGCCAGGCGCACTTGCCGCCCTTGCAGGCGGAGGCGCAGTAGGAAGGTGTCGTGAAGTCGCGGTCCTTGGGCCAGGCCTTGACGTCAAGGGTGGCGCATGTGTACCTGCGTAAAGGAAGGCATCGGACGGGGTTGTTCAGCGTGCGCGCAGTTGATAAAATGTTGAGGTTCAAGGAGAGTGTTGTGGTGCCCAGAGGCGACGCACTGCTGGGGCGCAACCTAGCGCCCATCAACTAGGGAGGTCAGCCATTGGGCAGGGCGGGTGCAATGCCACAACTGCGATATCTTGTGGTTGCAAGGTCCGCGGCGGAGCGTGCTGTCAGCACTGCGGCCACACTGGCGCAACAGTTGCCACTCACACGCAACTGCAGGGGCTCGGCGGCCACCTCATCGCATCCACAAGTTTGGCAGGCAGCTGTGTGTGTAAAAGATTGCATGTGCATGCACGCATGCACGTACACACACACACACACACACACACACACACACACACACACACACACACGCACACAATGACACATACAAACACAAGCACACACGCGCAATAACACATACAAACAAAAAGGCGCGCGCACACACACACAATGACACATACAAACACAAGCACACACACACACACACACACCTGTTGAAGTCGACCAGCCCGGCATCGTACACCAGCCCGGGGTTCAGGGCCTTGGTGGGCTCAACCTGGCCAGCCCCAAAATCAAAGGGCGTCCCCTTGATCGGGTTGCCGCGGTTGGTGGTCTGGCTGGCCGTCGTCATGATGGCACTCTTGACGGCGGCGGGCGACCAGCTGCAGGGGAGGAAGCGGACGGCAGGGGAGAGGGTGGAGGCGCGAAGGGGTTGTGTCGATGGTCGCGAAAAGTTGGCAGCTTCATGGAGTTTTGACTGGGTTTGCAGCAGACCCGTTAGTGGCCAGCATGCCATATGCCAGAAGTGTTTGACAACGGAGGTGGCGTGTCCTGTGGTGCTGTATTGCCAGAACCCGCCGGGCGGGCCGCACGCACCTGGGGCGGCGCGCCATGATGAGCGCGGCGATGCCAGCGACGTGGGGCGCGCTCATGCTGGTGCCCTGCATGTAGGTGCCCCCGCGCTTGCCGGGCACGGCGGCGAAGATCTCCACGCCGGGAGCCATGATGTCGGGCTTGAGCATCACAGCCCCGTCTGTAATCACCGGCCCGCGGGAGGAGAAGCCGGCGACAACGGGCGCCTCGGCCGTCTTGGGGTCGACGGTCTGGGCGGAGAAGGAGGCCAGGAGGGACTGCGGGCTGGACTTGTAGGCGGAGATGAGCTGCGCGCCTGCGTCCGCGTCCAACAGGATGCCGGGGACCTCGGCGCTCTGCAGGTAGGGGGTGTTGATGGGTGTGATAGAGAGGGGGGCGCGGAGGCGGCGTGGGTCAAGTTGAGTCTGCAGGCGCACGAGTTCCACAGTCATGGCGAGGAGATCATGTGCGTAGATTTTTCAGATATTATATTGAAACCTGTGTCTGGTGACTTCCGGGCAATTGCATCTGCAGGTACATGACAGCCGGAACTGGCAGAAGGACCCATGCAAATACCGGAGCGCCGCGCCTGGCCGGCACTCACAAAGCGGGCAAGATCCTTGGCGCCGTCGGGTGCGTTGGCAATGATGATGCCGACGCCGCCCGCCCGCGTGACCTCGTCGCCCTTCTGGTACATGAAGTACGTCCCTCGGACGCAGATCACAACCTTGCCCTTAACCTCGGCCGGGTCGAGCGACCCAGGCGCGCAGAGCCGCGCGGCGTCGGAGGTCCCAAGGTACAGCGGCGTCGGCGGCAACGCGACAAGGTTAGAGGCCGGCGTGACGCGCGCCGTGGAGGAGCTCTTGGCGTTGGCGTTGGACAGCGTCATCTCAGCAAACATCTTACGCGGGTGGGTGCCGGCCGCGATCGTGGTGACCCAGGGCTCCCCGTTGGACCCCATGCTGCTCGGTCCCGGCCCAGAGTTGCCGGCGGACGCGGAGACGAAGACGCCGGCGGCCGCGACGCCCTTGAACGCCTCCCAGAGGGGGTCGACGGCGCCGTGGTCCGCGGCGCTGCTGCCCACAGAGTAGTTGATGACGTCAACGCCGTCCTGTTCACGCGGGTGACGCAAGGGATGCAGAGGCGGGACAGGTTGCAGAGGCAGGGGAACAGGGTTGAGGAGGCCCGGAAGGGGTGGAAATGGCAGGGGCGTATGCGTTTCGACAACAATCAGGAATGGAAGCACAGGTGAATGCCAGCCCCATGATGCAACTTGCCAAGCTGCGCCCAACAGGCGGCGCGGCTGGTGCCGGCGGGCTGCTGCTGCAGGGGTCGCTGACGCGGTTGCCCCCAGCTGCTGCCATCGCTGCTCTGCTGCTACAGGGGGATGCCCCTGGCCTCACCTTGACAGCCTGCTCCAAGGCGGCGATGATGTCAGTGTCGTAGCCGGTGGCCTTCTTGCCGCCCAACTTGGGGTCCTTGTACTGCCAAAGCACCTGATAGTGGGGAGAAAGGGGCAGGACAAAGCAGTTCCGGGGCAGAATGTGTGATAAGGAGGGGGCTGTGCGGGTTGCACGCCTGCCACGCCGTGAGATTGCAAGCAGTAACCATCACTGTGCAGTGCTGCGTTCCATTTGCATGTGATCGTCGTTTTGCGCCTCCAGCGGCTTTTCGCCCTGCTGCACGGGCATTCAACTGCCGCGCAGCCGCCGGGTAGCCGGCATGTCCACCCTCACAGATTGTCTCGTCTCAATCTCGCCTTGCTCCTCCCCCCCCCCATAACAACACAGCTGCCCCGCCGCCTCCACCCCGCGCCACGAGCGCGCACCTTGTAGCTAACGACGGCCGCGCCGGGCGCCATGCCGCTCATGCCTGACTGCAGGTTGTAGAGGCCGTTGCCGCTGGGCAGCGCGTTGTAGTCGCCGCCGGCGGTGCTGGCGGTGTGGGTCCCGTGGCCCTCGTGGTCGATGCAGGTGGAGATGTCCTGGGGGTCGAGGGGTTGGGGGATGTGAGTGAGCATGCAGGGTGAGTTTCTTGAGGGGGTTGGATGCCCATAAGTTTGCAGGTGATCATGTGTGTGTGT